AAATCAAATTTGATTCAAATCAAATTCAAATCATGATTCAAATCAATTGAATTTGATTTGAATTGATTTGATTTCAAATCATTTGAATTTGATTTGAATCATGATTTAAAATCATTGAATTGATTTGATTTGAATCATGATTTGAAATCATTGAATCATTGATTTGATTTGATTTCAAATCATTAGAATTTGATTTGAATCATGATTTGAAATCAAATGAATCTCATGATTCAAATCAAATTCAAATGATTTGAAATAAAATCAAATGATTTGAATCATGATTCAAATCAATCAAATGATTTGAAATCAAATCAATTCAAATCAAAATCAATTGATTTGAATCATGATTTGAATTTGATTTTATTTGAATCATGATTTGAAATCAGATTTGATTTGATTTGAATTATGATTTGAAATCATTGAATCATTGATTTGATTTCAAATCATTTGATTGATTTGAATCATGATTCAAATCATTTGATTTTATTTCAAATTATTTAAATTGATTTGATTTGATTTGAATCATGATTTGAAATCAAATGAATCATGATTTGAAATCAAATGATTTGAAATCAAATCAATGATTCAATGATTTCAAATCATAATTCAAATCAAATCAAATTCGGCACGCTGCAATAGAAAATGCCTGTGAAGGGAAAAAGGCTGGAATAGTTTGCTAGGGCGGGCCGAATGAGAAAATATTAGAAAGTCTATTTAATGAAGAGTGTAATAATTTTTCGTCACAAATGTTGATATCAGAACTTTTGTATGTTGAAGGTGCGATCGTCACTAGTTTTATACCTCGTTAAGAGGTGTTTTTATTTGATATCAGAAGTTTTTGTTTGTTTACATTTGCTTTCATAGGAGCTAATATATACATTTAAATTAAAATTGGTCAATCATAATTTGTAAGCCATTGTATTTAAACAAATTAAGTTAAAAAGGCGTTTAAGTATTTCAAAATACCTTTTAAACGAGGTATAGCACATGTCGGTACCTTTAGTAGTGTAGAACTTACAAACTTTTTCCCGCTAAAGTAGCGGCTTTTTCCAAAAGTCGTAGAACAAAAGATTCCTATATGGAACTCTTAAGTGCAAATTTACTGATTCCATGACCCTAAAATACAGTTCGGATACCCTCACACAAAATGCAATACCCAGGAAGCTTTAGTTGTTCGAGCTGGCAAAAGTGGCTATTTTCGTATAAAAATAACTTTTAAACGTGACTTTTTACAGTAATGTGTTATATACCAAAATTTAAGGAATCTCAAGGGCTATACAGTTTCAAGTTTTCAAGAAAATCGTTAGAGCCGTTTTTGAGAAAAATAAAAAAAGCTAAAAAAAAGTTTTAAAAAATTGTCTTTTGTTCATATCTTTTTAATTATTACATTTACACAAATTGCATATAGAAGGCGTTTATAGCATTTCAAAATACCTTTCAAACGAGATGCAGCACAAGTCTGTAGCTTTAGTAGTATAGAAGTTACGGCTTTCCAAATTTTAGCTATTTATAGCTGTTTTCCCGCTAAACTAGCGAGTTTTTCCAAAAGTGGTAGAAGAAAAGTTTTTTATATCGATGTGATGAACGTCATATCAAATTTTCAAAACTTAAAAAATCATTTGATTTTATTTCAAATCATTTGAATTGATTTGATTTGATTTGAATCATGATTTGAAATCAAATGAATCATGATTTGAAATCAAATGATTTGAAATCAAATCAATGATTCAATGATTTCAAATCATAATTCAAATCAAATCAAATTTGATTTCAAATCATGATTCAAATTAATTTCAAATTTCATATCATGATTCAAATAAAATCAAATTCAAATCATGATTCAAATCAATTGAATTTGATTTGAATTGATTTGATTTCAAAGCATTTGATTGATTTGAATCATGATTCAAATCATTTGATTTTATTTCAAATCATTTGAATTTGATTTGAATCATGATTTGAAATCAAATGAATCAATCAAATCATGATTCAAATCAATTGAATTTGATTTAAATCATGATTTGAAATCAAATTTGATTTGATTTGAATCATGATTTGAAATCATTGAATCATTGATTTGATTTGATTTGATTTGATTTAAAATCATTTGATTTCAAATCATGATTCAAATCAAATCATTTGATTGATTCATTTGATTTCAAATCATGATTCTTGATTCAAATCAATTCAAATGATTTGAAATAAAATCAAATCAATCAAATGATTTGAAATCAAATCAATTCAAATCAAATTCAATTGATTTGAATCATGAATTTGATTGATTTGAATCATGATTCAAATCATTTAATTTTATTTCAAATCATTTGAATTGATTTGATTTGATTTGAATCATGATTTGATTTGAATCATGATTTGAAATCATCATTTGATTGATTTGAATCATGATTCAAATCATTTGATTTTATTTCAAATCATTTGAATTGATTTGATTTGATTTGAATCATGATTCAATTCAATTAATTTGAATCATGATTTGAAATCAAATTTGATTGAAATCAAATTCAAATCATGATTCAAATCAATTGAATTTGATTTGAATTGATTTGATTTCAAATCATTTGAATTTGATTTGAATCATGATTTAAAATCATTGAATTGATTTGATTTGAATCATGATTTGAAATCATTGAATCATTGATTTGATTTGAATTGATTTGATTTCAAATCATTAGAATTTGATTTGAATCATGATTTGAAATCAAATGAATCTCATGATTCAAATCAAATTCAAATGATTTGAAATAAAATCAAATGATTTGAATCATGATTCAAATCAATCAAATGATTTGAAATCAAATCAATTCAAATCAAAATCAATTGATTTGAATCATGATTTGAATTTGATTTTATTTGAATCATGATTTGAAATCATATTTGATTTGATTTGAATTATGATTTGAAATCATTGAATCATTGATTTGATTTCAAATCATTTGATTGATTTGAATCATGATTCAAATCATTTGATTTTATTTCAAATTATTTAAATTGATTTGATTTGATTTGAATCATGATTTGAAATCAAATGAATCATGATTTGAAATCAAATGATTTGAAATCAAATCAATGATTCAATGATTTCAAATCATAATTCAAATCAAATCAAATTCGGCACGCTGCAATAGAAAATGCCTGTGAAGGGAAAAAGGCTGGAATAGTTTGCTAGGGCGGGCCGAATGAGAAAATATTAGAAAGTCTATTTAATGAAGAGTGTAATAATTTTTCGTCACAAATGTTGATATCAGAACTTTTGTATGTTGAAGGTGCGATCGTCACTAGTTTTATACCTCGTTAAGAGGTGTTTTTATTTGATATCAGAAGTTTTTGTTTGTTTACATTTGCTTTCATAGGAGCTAATATATACATTTAAATTAAAATTGGTCAATCATAATTTGTAAGCCATTGTATTTAAACAAATTAAGTTAAAAAGGCGTTTAAGTATTTCAAAATACCTTTTAAACGAGGTATAGCACATGTCGGTACCTTTAGTAGTGTAGAACTTACAAACTAACGAAATTTAGCTATTTTTAGCTTTTTCCCGCTAAAGTAGCGGCTTTTTCCAAAAGTCGTAGAACAAAAGATTCCTATATGGAACTCTTAAGTGCAAATTTACTGATTCCATGACCCTAAAATACAGTTCGGATACCCTCACACAAAATTCAATACCCAGGAAGCTTTAGTTGTTCGAGCTGGCAAAAGTGGCTATTTTCGTATAAAAATAACTTTTAAACGTGACTTTTTACAGTAATGTGTTATATACCAAAATTTAAGGAATCTCAAGGGCTATATAGTTTCAAGTTTTCAAGAAAATCGTTAGAGCCGTTTTTGAGAAAAATAAAAAAAAGCTAAAAAAAAGTTTTAAAAAATTGTCTTTTGTTCATATCTTTTTAATTATTACATTTACACAAATTGCATATAGAAGGAGTTTATAGCATTTAAAAATACCTTTCAAACAAGATGCAGCACAAGTCTGTAGCTTTAGTAGTATAGAAGTTACGGTTTTCCGAATTTTAGCTATTTATAGCTGTTTTCCCGCTAAACTAGCGAGTTTTTCCAAAAGTGGTAGAACAAAAGTTTTTTATATCGATGGGATGAACGTCATATTAAATTTTCAAAACTTAAGAAACATGTTTTGGACAAACTGACAAACTGACAAACTGACAAACAGAATTAAATTTTCATTTTGGGAAGAAGAAGGAAATCTTATTTTGGCTATAACTTTTGAACGGAGCGTCGGATTTTGACAAATGACCCCTCATTCGACGGGTATTTTCAAAAGGAATACAACTAAAACATTGCGAGGGGGAATTTATCCCCACCGGCCCCAACAGCTCCAAATTTCGAAATTTTCATTTTTTCACTTTCACCGCTCTCTCTCCCAAGCCAATTGATTTTCTTAAAGTCTTGGTATGCAATCCTTTAAGTTATTGCAATACCTTTCGATTAGTGTATTACTCATTACGATCGGACTATCACAGCAGATTTTCAATTTTGCGGCTATATAATAGTAGTCGCCTTCGCACACTCTCCTGGTGCGCTTCGTCACTACATTATTAATATTTACATGAGTTATTTTCACAAATTTGAGATAAAACCAGGTGTACCACATTAACTTGAATATCATTTTTTAATTTCTTTAAATTCTTAAATATTTCAATTCGAGTAAAGTTGGACTCTTCTTATGAAACTTAAATCTTTTTTATAACATAAAAGGACAATAATTAAAAAAAATTCTTTCTTATTAAACAGGTGGTTTAAAGTTTTTAAAAGTTTTTAGAATGGCCCTTTTTAAAATGTTTTTAAATAAATATTTTTCCATGTGAAAGTTTTTTATTTTTTAAAATTTAATACGTTTAAAATATCTTGCTAAATCTTTTGAATATTTCTCAAGCGACGAGAAAATATTTTTCTTGGAGAGAGATCTTTGCCAAAGTAGAACCTGAATAACCACATTTCCCCCGCTTTCCCATTCGTTGCAGCTTGGACGCCGAGGGGCGATGTGTGCGCATCAACCACAGCATTCCGCAGCGCGACAGCCACTTCAGCGTGCCGGTGGAGCAGGTGCGTCCCTGGTACGAGGCGATGGCCACCTTTGTGGGCCTGGCCCACGAGCACTCGAGCAGATTCAAGACCACGCCCGGCGACGTGCTCACGTTCGACAATTTGCGCCTGGTCCACGGACGAACCGGCTACGACGACACGGACCGCAATGTGCGGCACATCCTGGGCGCCTTCGTCGACTGGGACATCGTGTACTCGCGGCTGAGGGTCCTGCGGAATGCCACCCCACCTGATGCTCCTTAGCTAGGGGCTGCCACATGTGTTTTTCATTGCCCCATTAATTAGCCATCTATCAATGCCAAACACTTTGATTGACACCGCAAAGTAGCCATGCAGCTATGCGAATTATTAACTCACTTTACTTTCGCATTTATTACTTAATTGGAACTTAGCCTTTTATTGACATTTTGAATAAATACTATTTTAATGGCTTTATGCCTTTGACACACTTCAATGCTAATTGACGTTATTCAATTGGGTTAAACATGTGATTGGAATTGCTGGCCTTTCAAGGTAGAGGAAGTCGTTCGAGCTTATCGGCAAAACGTGAACATCTGGCTGATTAGTTATTCAATTAGAATCGATACCCTGTTAAAAGTTTCCTGATTGCCATATATGTGTTTTGATAAAGTACATCTTATTGGTAGAAAATTGTAAAACATCAAACATAATAGGTGTGTTTAAAGTATTAACTGAATTTAACATCATTTTTTCTAAGTATTTAAAGCTAATTAAAAGGGAAGATGCATTCTACTAAGTAAGTTATTTTGAATGTATCATAACTGTGGATGTATTTATAAATATTGAGATAAATATAGAATACTTTTACTTCGCCCATTTTAAAATGCTTTTAATATTTACTGGGTATACAAACAAATCCATGTTTCAATACTCAATTGCCTGCCAACAGGCCACTGGAAGTGAAAGTCCAGCACACGTCATTGTTTACGCTGGGCAGCAAAGTGGCTTATCAGTGGCCAGTTGAGTCAACAGTGTCTGCGAGCACACATATACATTTGTACATTTATATATTTCGGTTATCAATTTATGGCAATGCCGAGATCAACACCGACTTGGCAGAGCTCTTAGCTCTTGGCATGCGAGTAAATCACACCCACACACCGCCCGCTTTTTACGGGACAGGGAGGAAACTTTCGGTTTGTCTTGGCTCGGATGCCAGGGTGCTTTTTTCGGGTGTTTGGGTGCGGTGTCCCGCAGGCAAATCCTTTGGAAATCTTTTTATTTATGTCATTGATGCCACCAGGAGCAAGTGAGAGCGAAGGAGGCAGTCAGCACCCAGCATCCGACAGCCAGCAGCCGGAATCCAGAGTCCGGAATCCGAGTTGGAGCACATGAATTTGTACATGGCAGCGAGTAAATCCCTCTAATAATCCACATAATAAGCACTGGAAGTAGCTGTGGCAGCAACAGGCCGAAAGGGTTGCCCCGGCTCTTGTTTATAAGTTCATAAAAGTCAACGGGCTGGGACGTTCGACTGCCGGTGGGGAGAGTGGAAAGGGGAGGGTGGCACATAAAAAGCGAGCCAAATGCAAACGGAAAATGGCCAAAAAGAAAAGGCTGCCTAAAGCCACCAGTCGCAAATCCAATTTCTTCGGAATGTGTGTGAGCTTCGGGGTAGGTGAAATTTTACTGCACTTTCGGGCAGACCGTGCAGCAGTCATAATGTGTAATTGAAAACCTGTCCTGAATCGTACCCCTGGGTGAGGTACTATATATTTAGCCCTTGCCGAAAAAAACCCCTAATTGGCAACTTGGTCACACAGACACAATGTGTGTGACAAACCCGAGAGTATTGCTGTTATGTAAGCAGGGAACTATAAAACAAGCGAGTAATTTCAAAGATCAAAGAATAATTTTTTTTCTACGAAAGGTACTGATTACACAGGAACACAAAATTAAACTTTGTGAAATTTCCACGAACCATTTCAAGTTTTCCATGATATTTGGGTGCTCCTGAGTAAAAGTCCCATACAAAATTATTTTCCATCACCTACAGGTTCCGCGGTATAGCTAAGAATACAAAAAACCGATGTTTGCCGACATTTTAAAACGTGGCCTATATAATTGGACCAACATTTATTATTTTCGGTAGGACCTACTCTCAATACATCAAGGCATTCCTAAAATATAGTCCCCATTGTGAACCATTGCCCATGTCTTTGGAATTCGACGCCAAAGTTGAAAATCCCAAAATTGTAGAGATTTTTCTGATGGAAAAACAATTCTGAGGATTAAATCTTGAATGGAAGTAATTTTAACTATTCATTGTATCTATTGTTCATTGTATGCTTTAATTTCGGTTTAAAGCGTTTTCATGAGAACATTTTATTGGATTTCTTATACTAATAAAACCGATTTTTTTATTTCATTATCTACTCCCAAATGTTGTCAAATTTTAAAAAAGTCAAGGCATCCTACAGAATGGGAGTAAACATTTACATTTCTCTGTGTATGTTCAGTGAACGTATTTTAGTTTCTTAGTTCTAGAGGTTGCCATGACTTATTCAAAATTTGACAACATTTAGGAGTAGATAATGAAATAAAAAAATCGGTTTTATTAGTATAAGAAATCCAATAAAATGTTCTCATGAAACGCTTTAAAACCGAAATTAAAGCATACAATGAACAATAGATACAATGAATAGTTAAAATTACTTCCATTCAAGATTTAATCCTCAGAATTGTTTTTCCATCAGAAAAATCTCTACAATTTTGGGATTTTCAACTTTGGCGTCGAATTCCAAAGACATGGGCAATGGTTCACAATGGGGACTATATTTTAGGAATGCCTTGATGTATTGAGAGTAGGTCCTACCGAAAATAATAAAGGTTGGTCCAATTATATAGGCCACGTAATTCAAAATGTCGGCAAACATCGGTTTTTTGTATTCTTAGCTATACCGCGGAACCTGTAGGTGATGGAAAATAATTTTGTATGGGACTTTTACTCAGGAGCACCCAAATATCATGGAAAACTTGAAATGGTTTGTGGAAATTTTTGGCTGTGTACCTGTGTTATAATTATCCGAAACCCGAAAACCTATTGTTGAATTAGCCTTATTATTTAAGCTGTGGTTTTTATATTTTATTTAAATTTAAAAATATAATTATCATTTATTATTGTGAAAACTTTTAGTTTTATACAATTTTCCAAACCATACAATTGTAGCTAACTTATCTTTACCCTTCTGTTATTTCTGTATCTATGATGTGAATTAAACCCAGAATATGTCAATGAAAACCTTATAATGACCGTTATATTTTTTTTGGGTTACATCTACCGCAATCCTGATTTTCGAAATCCAGAGAAAGGGTTTTCCAGCGTGACACTTGCACAATTGGCAAACTAATACGCTTACATACAATTTCCGCCATTTCCGCTTCGCCTCCTGGCCCATGGGATGCGGTCGGGTTTGTGTGCCAAGTTTTGGGCCGGGACAATGCCAAGTTTGGCTGTCACAATGATAAACATGCGGCAATTGACGCAATCATTGTCTGTCCATGAATTGAATTAAATCAACTCAACCCCATCTTCGCGCTGACACTTGCAAAATCAGCGAAGGACATCTATATTTTCTAGCCTGTGATTCTCGAAAATTAATGCCTCGGTTATGCCTGGCGTGGCATCGAAATCAAGCCACAACTATGGGTTACGGCGAGTGATTGTCAGTCTGCCTGGGAGGGGGGTTGAGCAAGGGGTGGGCAAACAAGGGTTAAGGCGGCTCCATGGGTAATGCCCCATAATTCCGATTCTGCTGCAGGACAGCGCATTTTGCTTATTAGAATCCGCTTGTGCTCCTCGGTGGCTGTTTGTGGGTGTGTGCTCGTGTCTGAATGTGAGCTCCTTGATGCCGCTGGAGGGTAATAAATTCTCGTCCTGCCCCCTTCGTCCTGGCAATTTCCAAGTTTATCACCAACGCGCGTCTGCAACTTATGTCGTCTTCTTTCGCTTCTTGGTCCTTCGTCCTCCATTCTGCTCCTGTTTGTCTGCACGTCTGTTGTGGTTATGTGAAATCACATCGTAAAAATGTCCAGGTCCAAATGCTACTAGCGAGTGTGAGTGTGTGTGTGCTCATGGGCCAAAGCCCATAAGTCCCGCCTGTCTCACCTGAGTTTTTCGCGGGTGGGTGGTGGCAGGGGGCAGGGCAACCCTTTCGCCATTCAATTTATAGATGCCGCCCATATAAATATTTATTTCTATGTGCAGCTGCCTGCCCCTTTGACACCACGCCGCGGCATCATTATTATTTTTATGCGCGCTTCTTAAAAGCATTCCGCCGATCAATAAACCAGCTCTCCTGCATCCTTTCCAATAAGCGAAAGTGGTTTTTGAGCCGCCACCGAGTACGTGTGTGTGCCATCAAACAATTAAAGGTCATTCGGGCCGGAAAAAATGCTTATGGCTATGTGGTAATCCAAAACTGGGCCAAATCCCATGCAGCACTGCAACATTAGCTGGTTGTCATCGCCCGGAAAACAGTGGAAATGCAAAATAATTTCCATTTAGCCAGCAACATCATTTGGCATTTTTAATTAGGCTAACACCGGTTCTATTTCACAAAGCATTGGTGGTGGGGTCGCCGACAATAAAACTCCCATTAACGGAATGGCTGTGTGAATATTTATGTTTTTCGAAGGGGGATTTATTTACCTCCACCAACATCCAGGAGTATTTATTTCTAACGGATTTTGTTTGAAAATAAATACTGTTTAGTGAAAAAAGGGTCATAATTGGACAGAATTAGGATTTTGTTTAAAAATATATACTGTTTTGTGAAAAAAAGGGTCATAATTGGACAGAATTCAACAACAGGTATAATAGGAACTGCACTCTGGGATTATTTCTCTGGTTGCATGAGCAATTGGCATAAATGCAGCCACTGACAGGCCAAATGGCAAAAATATGTAAATATCATATATTACAATCAAATATATAAACAGAGCAGTTTGAAATCTGTGGAATCGAGCTCCATGTTATTCTGATGGCTGCCGGCAGCGTCATTATCATCGCAAGCAACATCGTAATTAGTGCCTGGAATTGAGTTACGCTTTGAATTAATAACATTTCCGGCATTATAATTTGGACAATATATCACGGCTGCTATCGAGATGCCCGGCAGAGGGCGGCAGTTGCGATTGGGCGACTTTGCTTGTGGCTTGTGGCATGCAAAACGTAACGGTAAATTGGTTAACAATTACACAAATCTCATAATGAAGTTAAG